TTGCAGTCATCCTTTCTTTATTCTACAATTTGTAGCAATCCTTCTTCATGTACCCTTTCTTCTTGCAGTAGTTACAAATTTGTTTAATGAACTTAGATTTCGATCAGCCCCTTCCAAAACCACCATGAACAACCAAGCATTCTCCATGTCTAGCCTCAAAAATCATATGTTTCATCTTCTCTTTTGAATACAAAGTATCATACACAATCTCTATGGTGAGAGTATCACGACTATATAAGATCGTGTCTCTAAATGAAGAAAATAAAGAAGGCAATGAACACAATATAGTCAATGCCAAATCTTCTTCATTATATTCTACCTCCAAAGTTTTCAAATTAGCGACGATCTTTTTAAATACAGTCAGATGATTTTCCAATGATCTTCCTTCTGCCATTCGATGAGAGTATAAACGCTGCTTGAGATTCAACTTACTTATCAGACTTTTAGTCATGCACAATTGCAACAACTTTAACCATAAATAGCTGTTGAATTCTCTTTCAAAACGTCCTGAAGAATGGTATTCGATAGATGAAGATGAATGTGAAAAATTGTCTTCTTAACCTTCCATAATTTCTCCTCCGCGGTTAAAGTTGCGAACATCTTGTCAATTCCCAGCAACGCATCATCCAAATCTAGTTGTACGAGTACTGCACGCATCTTAACTTTCCATAGCGAAAATCTATTGTTTCGATCCAAAAAAGGAATATCATATTTCATGGAAGCCATCACGATAAAAAATCTCGAACAAATCAAACACTGTGTTCTTGCGGAGCTGCTGAACCTAAACTAAACTTTGATATGACTTGTTATGAAACCAACCACCGGCTTGAGATGTTGAAGTTATATAGCACAATAATTAAATATGTGAATATAAACAAAAGAATAATAGAAGATACGAAATATGACAAAACGTTTCCTGGGCTCATTCAAAATTATTTGTCACAATACCTTGGAATGTGAAATGTGTTATCATGTTAAGTGGCATGTAGAAAAATCAATAATACCATGTGGCATTATATTTAGTATCAATCTAGTTTTAACAGTAATCGGTGTTAAGACTACTAGTATTATATAACATTACTCGTCGAGATATTTATTATCACATTTCTCCACATTTTTAGAATCAATCATTCCTTGCTACATTTTGTCCAGGTCAATATAATTTCTTAGTTGGCTCAAGTTGACTTACTCGAGGTGAGAGCTAGCTAACTCTTATCCAAAAATTTCAGCTCTTGTTCGCCCCTGGTGGAGTAAATCAAGCTGAGTTGTCGCCCACTCATGGCTATTATTATTTTTAATTGAAAATTGCATTTTCACTCTCAATGGGGCACAATAGGTTCGACATTTACTACAAAGGAGAGAATCAACTTTAGATAACCGCGTCTTTGCTAGGCAGTATGCTGAATGGTCGATAGAGCTAGTAAAATCTAACCTTTGCATCAATGTTTAGCTAGGCATGCTGCTTGACAGTAGGTAGTCATGCTGGTTTTGGGGATCGTAGCCCCATGTAAGCAGTAACCATGTTTTGGCAAGCAAATTTATGTGAGTTGTAAAGCAGTTTACTTGAGGTATTCACTGTTTGGCTCGTGCCCACAGCTCAACTCGAATGTGGAGCGTGCCCCACTTAAAATCCCTACCTTTGAATGATAAATTTCATAAATAATTATAATTTTTAACCATCATTAAGGGCCTGTTTGAGTCTGATTAAAATTTGATTTTAATTTAAGTCAAAGTCAAACAATCAATATTAACCACATATTTCATGGGTCCCATGTCTTTTCAACCACACATTTCAAAAACTCTATCACAATTCAATAAAAATCTAATTTTAATCTCTACCAAACACCATCTAAAGGTAAGCGAATAGTGGGATATAAAGCTAATCCATGTTTCGAGAAAGAAAATGTGCCATCATTCCGTACTTTACCTACCCTAATCATTGGTGAAAGTTGAAGCATAATATATTAACTAAGTAATGAATTTAATTAATCACTAAGCCGGAGTGATTTTCGGGTCAACATATGGTTGTGCCAACCACACTGAATTGGTTATTTAGAGTTATAAACAAAGTAGTTAAACCACTCTCGGTCATTCTATACAGTCCATGCTTATAAATAGCTAGTGAATCTCAATAATTACACATCTAATAAATTTTAGTTTAGGTTAATTTGTTCAATCCCAAAAGGAGCAAATTGCTAAAATCCATCGAAATATCAACTCATCTAGCATCAATCATCCATCTAGGTTACAGTGGAGGTCCGTATTTAAATTTCCAATGAAGTTTGGATATAATATGATTCATTGAACAATTGTAAGTGGACTTCACTGGCACCTAAACTGATATTAAGTAGGATTATTATGTGGACTCTTATGGCCAACTAGACTCGTGTTGAGCACTTGTTGCTATTCGAGCATTATTCAATACTAAAATATGTAAAAATAAGGAAGGGAAGGAAACATATAGTAGTGGGAGTGGTGCACCGCAAATTCTATGGTGCCAGGCTTGCACTCTAATCCTCCACAAGGAATCGGTGCAAAAAAGTAATGGGTTTGCTTCAAAGCCAACCGAATCTCACTCCTTTCCTCACCTCCACAATACTCCTTACAACTCTCTCTTCTCGGCAATACCTTTCCACTGGTTCAAGCTGCCTGCATATAGATGGAACATCCTAAGTTGAAACTGCAAAGAAAATTAGTTTGCACTTCTTACTATACACGGCTACATCCTCTAGAAAAAGAAAAAAAGATGTTCGAACCTCAAGAATTAATGGTGATTAGGGATCACAGTCATATGATCAGAGGAAAGCGCACCAAGCGGCAAAGGCCCATCTCCCAGCTTTCATTAACCATGGCCACTAGCTCATGTAGCACGGCGGAAGTCACTGGTGGGGGTTTTGGTGGTGCTGCCACGAAGGAGGAGGAAGAAGAAGATATGGCCAATTGTCTGATTCTTTTGGCCAAAGGGAAAACAGAAAAATCCTGTGAACAAACTGCCGTTATGAGGTCGAATGTTTACCAGTGTAAAACATGTAACAGATGTTTCCCTTCTTTCCAAGCACTTGGTGGGCATCGAGCAAGTCATAAGAAACCGAAGAAAAAAACCCTAGAAGAGCATGTACTCCAAATCAGTGACGATCATGGCACAGATCAGATTTCAAGGTGCAGTACTGATTTATGCAGCCAAGAAAACAACAAATTTAAGGTTCATGAATGTTCAATATGTGGAACTGAATTCAATTCTGGTCAAGCCTTGGGGGGTCATATGAGAAGACATAGAACAGTGCCTAATCATGATCAAGTTGAGTCTCTAAAAGCCACGAAATCAAGAAATCTGTTAGCATTGGACCTTAATCTTCCTGCAGCACCAGAAGACGATGATGATGATTACAGAGAATACTCCAGCTTTTCTTTTGCATCAAAAGAACAAATCTTAGTCTTCTCTGCCTCTCCTTTGGTTGATTTTCATAACTAATTTATCTGATCAGCACGAAAATTGTTAATTATTTACATAATTTTTATGCTATCTTGATCATTAGTTGAATTCTTGAAGTGTACTTGTGAATTTGTGACATGCTGACGCATTACAGTCTTGTAGTTCTTTCTTTCCTCTTTCATTTGAATGTTCCAAAACCCTACTGCTCATTTTGGCGCCTCTAGGATATGAGAGAGAGAGAGAGAGAAAGCATCACCACCAAAAGAATTAGAAGTTTTGAATTAGGTTCATATGATTGATCACAAGAAAAATAGTCTGTTCCATTAATTAAATGACTAGTAGCTCGCTTGTTTTATGGGTATTGACATGTACTCCATTATGATATCGGAGCAGCATGGTTATAGCCTACAGCCATGGAAAACTTTTGAGCATATTTGGGTTCGGTTCAGAGAAAAAAAATAGAATAATGCTATTTATCATTATGATGATAAATCATCAATGATATTACAATTTATATGAAATAATGAGATTGGACATTACAATTTATATGAGAGAGAGAGAGGGTGGGTGGTAAAGAGAGAAATGTGAGGGATAATGAATTATCACATCACCGACGATTTATCATCGTGATGATAAATAAAATTACTAAAAAAAAAAAATTAGTAACTTTTTAGGAAGTATGGTGATGGGATCAAGAAATATGTGAATGATAATGAATAGTATTTTGAATGTGTGGTTAAATTGAGCATTTGTTTGGTTCAACTAAAAGAATTGATAAAAATCTAAGTCAAAATCAAACAGAGGTTAAATGAGATCTACGCCTTGTATCAACTTTTTAATTAACTTTTCGAAATCTACTAAAAATATTATTTTTAACCAAATCAAATAAAGGTTAAATGGTGCCTATACACTCACATGTCCGAGTGTGTAGAGTACTTGGAGTCATGATGTATCAATATTTTTTAATTGCTTTAAATTATATGAATGGACAGCCTATTATCTTTTATTCTTAATCAATTCGGGCTCAAATTAATACCAAGTTATCGCCACATTTTACTTACATACAGATGCATAAAAGAATTACAAGTCTACTCCATAAACGATTTGTTATGTACTAAAAAATTATTTGACATTCTTTACTTACAAAATTCAATTTTGTAAACGTACAAATTGGTCCATGCATTCGAGACTAAAGGGGCGACTCAAGGTAAAGTTGTATGTCCCCTCGTTATACTTTATACATAGAGGATAGTGTCAAACTTGAGCCCCGAGCAACCGAGCCATATTAACTTCCCTATACCTTCAAATGTGACATGTGTTATCATGTTAAGTGGCATGTAGAAAAATCAATAATACTATGTGGCATTAGTGATATTTAGTATCATTCTAGTTTGTAACAGTAATCGGTGTTAAGACTACTAGTATTACATAACATTACTCGTCGAGATATTTATCGTCACATATCTCCACATTTTTAGAATCAATCATGCCTTGCTACATTCTATCCAGGCCAATATAATTGCTTAGTTGGCTCAAGCTAATTTACTCGAGACGAGCGCGAGCTTGCTCTTTTCCAAAAAAAAATATCTCCTATTCGTCCCTGGTGGAGCGAATCAAGCTGACTTGCGGCCCACTCATGGGTCGTAATTTTTTTAATTGAAAATTGCATTTTCACTCTCAATGGGGCACAATAGGTTTGACGTTTACTACAAAGGAGAGAATCAACTTTAGATAACCACGTCTTTGCTAGGCAGTATGCTGAATGGTCGATAGAGCTAGTAAAATCTAACATTTGCATTGATGTTTAGCA